TCGGCCGCCCGGGGGAGCGAATGCTCGAGCTCAGTTCTCGGGCACCCGCCCCGCCTGGAGCTCCCGACTCCTGGGCTCCCGCCAGGCGCCCGGCCTCGGCGCTGCAGCGGGAACGCGGGAGCCTGCGCTCCCGTGCGTGTGCATGTGCGTGGGCCAGGGCTGCCCCTGGGCGCGCGCGATTCGGGCGCTGCGCTCGCCCTGGCTTTTGGGCAGGTGTCCCGGGCACCCGTCTCTCACTGTGCACTCGCCCGGATACCCAGGCACGGTTCCTGGAAGCCAAGGGCTGGGTTCATGTCGCTGCGGCATTGTTTATGGGGAGCAGGCATTTGCAGAACAAATGAAGTGCCATCTTTGATTTGGAATGAAAGGGGCAATTCCAATCACCCAGGACAAACTGCACAACCCCAAAGCTCTGGATCGGCCAGACCCATCGGTGCCCTAGGGTTTACCCAGGTGCTTCCCTCTCTAGCCGGCATGCACTTGACGCTCCCATGGGGAGATCTGATAGCTTGATGCTGTCTGTACATCCGTGTACGTTGTAGCTCCCTTGCCATTGAACCTTGTGTTTCCTGTGCTGCACGGCCTGAGCCTCATTACCTCCCCTCAGGCTCAGAACCTGGGAAGTCCCTTTAGCTCCCACATTTTCTGTTCAGCCTACAATACTGGCAGCTGGGCTGAGCTATCCTGCCCCTTAGAGTTACTTCTTCTGCTTTATCACACTTCTAACTGTCTGTTATGTTAAATCACGTGAATAACATCTGAAATTAGGGCAGGACCGCGGACTTATGGGAAGATGATGTAAGAATGCCTGTTCCAGGCACGTAAGTAAACATGAAGGAACACTGTGATTGCCTCTATTTTCTAAAGGACATCTGTTTAGCCTCAGCTGTAATATTAACCAGTACTGGTTGAACATTTCCCAAGGTGTTTTGATAGACATCTTCATTTTTTTTTTTAATTTTCTGTGTGTGAGTGTTTTGCCTGCTTTAATGGATGTGCACCACATGTGTGTGTGGTGCCTGTGGAGGTCGGAAGAGGGCGTCAAATCCCCTGGAACTGGAGCAGGATGATTGTTAGTCACCACGTGGGTTCTGGGACAGTTGAAAGTTGTCCTGTTATTTGGGGTTCTTACCAGTGAGTGGAGTTGATGTCTCCATCACACTGACCGTGGGGTCTACTGTTGGATTTGACTATGGATACCAGTAGTAGAGATTGGGCAACTTCTAAGTAGTGTTTTTGAATAATCTATATTCTATTCCTCATGCCCTTGGTCATCTGTGTTTAAAGGAACACTCAGGTCACCATCTCTGCTGCCTTGAATGACTAACAGATCTTAAAAAATGAGACCCATTGCATATGAACTGAACCTAGCCAAGTCCAGGTAGGCAACAGCTTACCAACATCCTGTTAGTAGGGAATATATTTGTTTTGTAGGCTACTGGGTGACTGTATTTTGTGCCTTTTTTTTTTGTACAAAATCCAATTTATCAACAAAAGGAAAAATGTCTTACCTAGGGCCATAAGTACCCTTCCATCCTACTGCCCTGAAAATCCCAGATATGTTAAAGAACAAAATGACATGACAACATGGAGATAAAGATGTACACCTTCAACAAATGTCCCAGCAAGGACCTTAACACAAAAGTTTAAAAGCATACACGACCATGAAGAAGGAACCGGGAGAGCTATATTCAAATGGAAAATCAGTAAAAGCTTCATTATTCATTTAAGACCTGTAGGATGACCAAGGGATAACAGAAGGGAGTCGAAGAAACAAAAGTTTTAGATAGCCAGTGTACAGTGAACAGTCAGGGTTCTCTAGAGTAACAGAACTTACAGAATGAATCTCTATATAGAGAGGGAGTTTAGAATGACTTACAGACCACAGTCCAGCTAATCCATCAATGGCTGGCTGTGAACCAAAAGTCCAAGAATCTAGAAGCTGCTCAGTCCACGAGGCTGTATGTCTCAGCTGATCTTCAGTAGAATCCTGAAGAAGTAGGCTCTAATGCCAGTGAAGGAATGGACATGTTAGCAAGATGAGGGCAAACAGGCAAAGAACAGAAGCTTCCTTCTTCCATGTCCTTGTATAGACTTCCAGCAGCAGGTGTAGCCCAGGTTAACCATGTGTCTTCCCATCTCTAGATCCATATTAGAGGCTTGTCTTTTCCCAGCTCAAAAGATTGGGATTAAAATCATATCTTCCTAACTCAAAGATCCAGATTAGAAGTGGATCTTCCTATTTCAAATTAATCAAAAAAAAAAAAAATCCCTCACAGTTATGCCCTCCATTTTTGGGATTTTAGTTCCAAATGTAGTCAAGTTAATGACCAAGAATAGCCACCACAGCCAGGCATGGTGTGAGTGAAAGAGTGGAAACAACTTGGTATGGTTGAGGTTCCACAGAGGACAGAGTGACCAGAATGTAGTGGCCAGGAGTTAAATCCATGGGAAGAGCAGGACCCAACACCCATAAGGCCGTGTGGTCTGCCACAGAGGGGTCTGGATCTTATAGTTTTTGTAAACTTTATTGACTTTATTGTTGCTGTTGGGGTGTGTGTGTGTGTGTGTGTGTGTGTGTGTGTGTGTGTGTGTGTGAGACTTTGTGGAATTGGTTCTCTTTCTGCCTCCTGAGTCCCGGAGATTGAGCTGGGGTTATCTGATCTGGAGGCATGCAGCCTTCCCGAAACACTGAGCTGTCATCTCAGCCCAGCTTTTCTTTTAAATAAAATTGCTTAGGTTCTGGTGAGATGACACAGTGGCGGAAGGTGTTTGCTGCAAACCTGACTCAGGTTCTATTCCTGTAACCCATGTAAAGGTGGAAGACACAGCCGACTCCATAAAGTTGTTCCCTGGCTTCTACGGTGTGCTGTTGCCCTCCCCCCACCCAACAAAAAAAATAAATAAATCCTACTTAGGTAAATGTGAGTCTCATATCCGAGCCAATTGAGCCTTTGGCATACACACCATGAACTCTTGAGTTTCAAAGGTCTACACTGGTGCAGCTATTCTTGCAAAACTCTTCGAGAGTCATGTAACGAGAGACTTTACATTTTAATATAGCAGGAGTGGGGAGTGCAAGTGCAGTGCTGTACAGGCAGAGGTCAGAGGACAACCTGTGTCAGGAGTCACCTCTCTCCTCCACCACGTGGACCCTGGGGGTCAGACTCAGGGCCTCAGGCTTGGCACCAGCTTCCTTCACTGGGTGAGTCATCTCACCAGTCCCTAGTGAGAGACATTTTAAACACCATCAACTAAAATACTATCCATCACTACCTAGAAAGAGAAAATCAGCAGATTACTCACGAAACTTATGTCTCAATAAAATATGCCTGTGCAGGGACACTTTGCTCAGACTGGGAGGAGGGGACTGGACCTGCCTCGACGGAATCTACCAGGTTGAGCTGAATCCCCAGGGGAGTCCTTGCCCTGGAGGAGATGGAAAGGAGGGGTTTGGGGGGAGGGGGCGGGAGGTGGGAGGACAGGGGAATCCGTGGCTGATATGTAAAATTAAATTATAAAATAAAATAAAATATGCTTATCAATCACTGTCCTAAGAATTATAATCTTGTCAGACTTCCACTTGACAAACTATGGTGATACCAGAGAAATCAAAGTCTTAATTTGTCAGAAAACCAAATGCTGCTGTTCCTGGGTCAAAAGAAGAGACTTGCTACATGACAACGGACTATCAAGTAGGAAGCGGGTTACTAATAGATTCGCTTTTATAGAATATATACTTATAAGACATTATCCTGAGAGCTATAAATCCCACTGGCTTTCATTGGAACAACTGTATATTCACTTAAATAGTAACGTAATGCAAACTTGAACTTGTTCTATAAGGAAGATCAGAATGTTATTGCTCTCTTAATAAAGTATTTTACTGATTTTGTAAAGAATAGAGATACTTGCTGCAAGCTGAGTAAAATGGGGATACTTTATAAGATTTATCTCTAATCTTTGTTTATAAAACATCATAAGAAGTAATTATATCAAACTTACTTTAGAATCGTTATATAATCTCTGCATTGATAGCGATTAAAGAAGCAATTCCAGTTACTTTAGTAGAAAGGTTGATTGGCCAGACTTTTCATCACTATGACAGATCAAATAACATCAGAGAACTAAGTTTCAGGAATTTAGTCCATAGTCCATGGTCTGTTGCTTCTCAGCCATGGTGAAGGAGACATAGTGATAGGAACGTGCCTCAGAGACCACTTACCTCATGGCATGCAGGGAGCAGAGAAAGGGAAGAGGGAACAGTGGACAAGATACAGCCCCCAAAGATACTCCCTAGAAAACCCCACAAGCTGGGGCTCAACCTCCACGATATAAACTTGTCAGGGGGCAGTCTATGATTCAAGCCATACATAGCACTCTGTGCTGGGTCCCCAAAGGCTAATGTCCATTTCACTATGCAAAGTGTAGTTAGCCAACCTCTAAGAATGCTGTAGTGCTAACAATTCCGACAGTGTTCAGGAGGCCAGTCTGAAACTCTCCTTTGAGACTCAGGGAAAACTCATAGCTGTGAGCCCCTGTAAACTCATAAACAAATTGTATATTTCCAAGGTACAATGGTATAGCGTAAACATTTCCATTCCCCAAAAGGAAAACTAGGAAGAATGTAAGGAGGGTTCACGTCAAAGCAAGACTGAAACAGCCTGGGAAACATTAGTTCCCGTAGCCTTGTGCCCCACGTATAAGGCATGTGATGTCATGACATAAGCTTGTTTTCCTGAGCATACTGGCTGTTTGTAGATCACATGACCTCTTTCTTGGGCTGGCTGCACTTGCTTCTTGCAGCCTTGCTTGGCAGATGTGCTGTGGGGGTCCATCCCTCACTCCCACATTCCCCCAGAGTACTCTTGAGTAGGAGCAGCAGGAAATATTAGAAGGATAGAGGGGGAGAGAAACAGAAAATACAGGATAGCCTCCAGAGGGCCTGGATCCTAATTGGGCCTCAACTGTCTCTGCCTGAGGGCATTTAAAGGAATGCCAAAGGGCGGAGCAAAAGACACAGTCAAGTACAGACCATTTCAGACACCTGCACTCAGGCCTGTGGTCCAGTCATCCTCTCTATGCAGACCTGCTGGGTAAAGCCACTAGGAAGCCTAAAAATGGGCTCCAGCAATGTTCCATATCACCAACATGTCAAAGATCCCAAGGTCTTCACTGCAGCTTGTTAGAAACTTTTAAGTAATAGCTGTCTCAATGATTCTGTCACTTAATTCCAAATATCATCTTAATACCATCCCTCGATGTTCATGTTATCCAGTTGAGATTTCATCTTCGTATGCCAAATAATTTTGGATTATATATTTAAACTTCATGTAATAAGATTCTGTGTCTTTTTAAAGTCCCATGGAAGATACTTACATTTTTACTTCAGTAGGAAATCAGTTAAATCATACCACCCATTGTCACAAGCCACCCGTGTGCTGTGGCTCAGCATGTTGGGATGACAGTTGGATCTGTCTAGCTGTGTTCCATGTGTTAGCCACTCTAGGGTTTGACCTGTTAGCTCACATCTGCAAGGCTTTTATGTGCTTGCCAGGAAAAGATCTGCATGTACACAGCTCAGAAGCGAACTCGGGTAACTTCCAGGGCTCCTTCCTCTTTACAGCCTCCCTTTCCCTCTGGAAACTAAAGCATCAGGACTGTGTCTACATCTTCAAGTAGAACCAAGTGGAGGGATCACCAAAAGAAGAAGCAATGGCCAGCCGCTGGCTCGCTTGATGATGAACCACCGTGTTTCCGGATACATTTGATTCATTCATGTATTTGTTCATTTGTAATTTAATTTCGTTGTGTATATTAGTGGGTGTGGGGTGTGGGGGTCTGTGTGTGGGTGCATAGGTACTGTGGCATCATGTGGAGGTCAGAGGACAGCTTTCAGGAGGCAGTTCTCTTCCCACAGTATGAGTTCCTGAAACAACTCAGGTCCCCTGGCTTTCTGGCAGGTGTGTGTGGTGCTGAGCCATCTCATTGGCCGATATGACTGTTTAGAGTTATACATATGCTTGTAAGGTTTCTTTTTTCCCTTTACAGTGCCTTTATGTAATTCTGTTTACATTCAGCTCTATATACTTCCTGTATTTCTCTGGTACTTCTTTTTAATATATATTATTTAATTATGTGACTAAGTGTGATTTAATAAAATATCATTTTCAAATATACAGAAATATTTTCATTTCCTTTTTATTGATAACCCTTAATTTTATATGATTCTACCTTACAGTTTGCAAGTATATCATGAAAAACTCATATATGTGTTTAACTTTTCATTCGTATTTACCATGGCTAACATCTCCCCTCCATTTGCCCAATCATCTTTCTCCCTTTTTCTCTCCATATTTATATACACATTTGTTCTAAACCAATTTCTAACAGAAAGTCACGGATAACGCTGTTTTCCCCTAAATACCTCAATGTGTATTTCCTTTTTTAAACAGGGGACAATATCTTACGTAACCACACCACAACGAACAGAAATCAAGTCTGACGCCGGTGTGATGCCGTTACATAACCCAGGGCTCATATGCAGGCTCCCCACTCAGTCCAGGGCGTCTGTTATGGTGACTACTACACCTAACTGTCATGGATTAGCCCTTCCATCTTGTCGCTAAGCTCACTCTTACAGCTTTTGGTACAAATATGGGTCGTCTTCCAAATTCTGTGGTTTGTGTTATGGGAAAAAGTACCTCATTGGGGCCGGGCGGTGGTGGCGCACGCCTTTAATCCCAGCACTCTGGAGGCAGAGGCAGGCGGATCTTTGTGAGTTCGAGGCCAGCCTGGGCTACCAAGTGAGTTCCAGGAAAGGCGCAAAGCTACACAGAGAAACCCTG